ACAGTTTTCACTTGCTAACCTCAGACAGGCTTCCTGGATGGTGGCACCTTGCCTTTTGAGCAAAGGGGATAGCTTTTTCAGGAACTAGATCAGCTTCTTGGGCAAGAATATCTTCTTTTTTTCCTCTTGGGGTGCTCTACTCTTATTCTGAAACCGACCTTCCTGCTGCTTTTGCTGGATACATTCAAATGTCCAGCACAGGCTTTGATATTTCCATCCTTGGAAACATCCATCCTTGGGACTGCTCGGCTAAAAAACAGTTGCATTTTTAGCAACATATAACATGTTCACTTGCTAGCAAACAAATTTACTAATTATTGTTACTAATTCTCCTGCACATTTTTTCTTCTTTGTATTGTCACAAAAAAATTACAATCACTTCTACTGCATGCTAAATCTGCTGTTGATAAGTACTGTACTTGCCTCTGATACACTCAGACCACAACAATTCCACCAGCTGCTCTGGGGACATCTTTACACTATGCCCATGCATCACCAAGAGTCTAGAGAGCAGGCAGGGCTCTGCCAGGCCCCCCATTATTGCTTTGGAGAAAGAAGAGGATGTTTGGCCATTGATTCCTCTGTTATGAAACCATCCCTAACCTCGAGAAAGAAGTCTCCCTGTTAGTAAGCAGATGTCAGGCTGAGGAATTTGGTCTAGATCTGCTGACAGCTCTTATCGCAGTAGTTTTCTGTTGGTAATACTGTGTAATTGTCATTTCATGTACTGTGTTTGAAATCTAGTTCAGAGCAATCGGCCACTAATTGGTTCCCAGTCTACAAGCTATTTTTCTGCCTTGGAAGTCATAATTAATGCTACTCCCTCCGAGTTATCATCATCTTGCCTCATGAATATATTATAGCTTTGTTTTCATTCTTAAGATTGCTCTTCATCAATTCCTGGTCACAGACAGTTTGCTTACTCAAAGGATTTTACTTACTGTATTCCTCCATCTCTTTCACCTGTGCCTCTTTTGTTGTTGCAACCTTTCTTCCAGTGTTCCAGAAACCTACTTTCTGTGGCTGTTTTTTTCCCAAACCTTTCCCTGAAGAACTCCTCAGAGGCTTGCCTGGCTGACGGTTTTTACCAAAGCAGGTCATATCATTTCACCCACGACAGAATCTGCTACTTACCTGGCAAGCATGTTGCTGGAACAGCTACTCTGCCATCTTCCTCTGATTTGCCTCTTCTTCAGGGACATATTTTTGCCCCTGCAGATGAAGCCCCAACAACAGGGTGTTGTATTACTGTTTTTCATCATGATCATGACTTTTGACCAGTTTGGTTTGGGTCACGAGACTCAACAACCTCACCCTCAGTGAGGTCAACTGGAGCCTCGTTTGGGTTCAGGCGGTACTCGTGTACTGCCAGCTGCTAAAGGATAGCAGCTGTTTTCCTGACACTTACATTCTACTTGATAAGGATGTTGTAAGATGAAAAGATTGCGGAGTACTCACATTTTACAGTAACAGCAGCCATTTCAATACCTGCCTTAAAAAAGAAACCACATCTTACATCTCAGAAACAGCCGTGTTCTGTCTCCAGAGCTGCTGTAAATTGTTCATACCTTCCTCTGCATGACATTTTGCACTGCATCCCTCCCTTGTCCCCAGCACACTAATACGTTAGTAATTATCACCACCCAAATTTTATGCAGGTTCATGTTAGGACTCTCTAAATACAGTGAACCATAGAAACTTAACACTTACCAGAGCTGGGAGAAAAAATTCAGACAATTTTTTTTTGGCTACCGAACTAGCTCATATTTTTCTATACTTACAGTTCTATTTGTTTCAGCAGATGGAGAGTGAAAAGGAAGATCCCTTTTGCCAACAATTTATACTACCTCACACGAGAGATGTTATCTACATTTGGGCCCCACGTGAGAAAGTAATTTTGGACCTGACAATGGGTAAATTGTAAGGGAAGAGCAGACTTTGCACTTGGATGGCCAAGCCACAGGCCTGAAATATTAACATTTAAAAGTCAGACTCAAGGGAGAGACAAAATGGGCCAGCAATGTTGTACAACATTGCAGAAGCCCAGTCTTTCACAAAGACAAGCTCTACTGGGGGAAAGGAAATTAAACCCAGAGGACCAATACCTGTGACTTGCTAACTTTTTTCCAGAGCAAAATTAAAGGGGGTAACTATCAACCAAACAGGAGATGAAAAATCTAGACCAAATCAGGATGTTATGGGCTGCTCTAGAAAACTGCAGGATGGACAATGGATTAGGTCAGTGCATTATCTGCATGGAGGTGTCATTCTTGGCACGAGTCAGGTTAGTGAACGGAGTGGGTAGGGAAAGAGAAGAAAAAAACAACAGTTCAGGGTTAAAAGGAGTCCTTTGGTTAAAAAATGAGGAAAAAAAAGTTATTATCCAAGATATTCGGAAATGAGTGTTAGTCTTTTAATCAGGACAGAAGACAGAAACAGGGAAGACAAAGAAGCCATATTAAGAACATAAAAACCAGATACCTTAATGGTATTTGAAGATAACAAGCTCTCGGGCAGTATAAATACAGGCTGAGCAACTGTAAACCATTCATAGCTTGCTTTAAAAAAGACAAACCATCCCCATTTCACCTCTTCATGTTAACACACTGGAATAAACAAACAGCCATGGAAAGACTAAAGCAAACAAGGGACATGGGCTGTGTTAAAAACTTTCTTGTGTAACCCCGAGCAACTACTTCGTGCCTCAGCTTATACACACGTAAAAGCTGTGTACACTGCAATAGGTGTCTGTAAGATAGGTTTAAACAAAATTTATTGCTTAAAGCTTGCTGTTTAGTGTATAACTTTGAGAAAAGTTTAGTAATTTTGCCATTTACAGTTATCTGGTACATCACTTCTCCCTAGAAACATGCTTTTTTCAAAAGTACCAAGAGCATGAAAGTGCCCTGTGTTTCTGAAACGGAGAGACTTGAATCCACTTGTTCAAATCTAGACTTTAAAAAGCAGCAAGTGCAGACATGGAAAGGCAAGGACTGAAGCATCAGGAAGCCAAATGAAGCATCAGCTCAAACTGAGTCCCAACACCTGTTCCCAAAAGCAAGAACTTTGAGATACGTGGGAAGCCCAGAGAGCACACAGGGCCATCTCCTCCTTAGTTAAACTCCTGCACTTCTCTAACTCTCCTGCTTTCCATTTTAGCACCTGTTAAGCAGACAGAAGATGAAATACTTGGGGGAAGACTTCCCTGCAGAAGATTTTTATTTTGTTCTTCATTAGCAGGTAGGCAACAGCCATAGGTATCAACGTGGGTGAGCACATGGGGGTTTCATGGATGACAGAGCGTCAACGTTTATTCCCAGGAGACTCATCTCTCTTATTTGACGCCCACGTTCACACTGCAATCACAACTGCACCAGCTACAGTTGTCTTGGAGCCTCTGCTCTCAGTAGACTCAAACTCAGGATCCTTTATAGTAATGGAGAGCTTTACCAACAACTCTACCTCTAATATCATCTCCCAAGAAAGTACTTTTCATCATGTGTTTTAAAATATATATTAATCTGCTTAGTCTAAGCACTTATTCCTTACCAATTTCATATAACAACAGCACTAAAGAATACCAGTGATACAGGAGCTTTTGATGTTCCAACTTGCTTACAGGACCCAAATCTAAGAGACAGCAACACTGCATTGAGAAATGTCACATCAAGGTTTCCAGTAGCTTCAACATTTCCCATTTCATTAAATGAAAAAAGAGCCAGAGAAAGGAGGAAACCGTATTTCTGCTCCACTTACTTGACAAACGCAGGAAACTGCGTATAGATCAACTGACACAACCTCTCTGAATCTCACTGAAACACACAAACAAAGCAAGATCAACCCGGGCAACTACAGTTTGCTGCCATGGTTTAAGCAAATGGCTTAAAAAGCAGAAGGCTTTGGATACCTTCACTGAATGCTTCCAAATAATGAATAACTGCACACAAGTATACAGTGAGCAGCAGGTTTCGGAATTCAGTGCCTATCTATCTACACCAGTGGTAATCAACAGATTAACTCTGTATGACAACTTAGCTACAAGTCTCAGCCTGGAAGCACTTCCCTCCCCCCTGTACCTAAATCACAGTCAGAAATGCTCCAAAGGAGATTAGGGAGACGACTTTGCCATGCACAAAGCGCTAATCTAAATGTGTTCCTATTTAAGTAGGTGAAGGTTCTAAATTTGACTGAAATGGCGATGTTTGGTCTGGCCCTTTGTGTTTTTCAAGATTTATGTAAGCTTTTAAAGCCTCTCATTTCTTTTAAAGCAGGTTTCACTATCCCTAGAAATGTTTTCTGCTCTTAGCCCTTTTTGCTATAAACATACTGACAAATTGCACATACACATTTTATGCTGAATATAGGAAAATCACAGGGTTTGTGCTTCACCTGCTAGGTCTGAAACAGCAACAGCTGCAGGTGATGCTCTGGCTTGCACCAGCATTTGGTAGCAGTGTTCTAGCGTACAAGAGGGATGGCTGCTTCATCAAACAACGTGCTCTGCAAGCTTTTACACTAGGCAAGGAGATCCCAAAATATAGGCCACTGCGTTTCTTATTTTTATCCATACAACACTGTTAAATCAATGGGATTTACATGGATTAGCAAAGGACAAACTTAGCCTATTTTAGTAATGGTAAAATGACATTAAGATTATAACCCATCTCCCACTCCCAAGACTAATTACTTCCCAACTCAATGTATCAAAGGCTCTTTTTGCCTAACAGAGTCACGTCAAGTGAAAATAAAATAGTGGTGTTTTTTTCCTTTTTTTCTTTTCTCTCTTTTAGACATGATGGATTTCAAAACCGAAAGAATTAATTGCTTCATTTTATTAAAGGAGTGAAAAAGCAGCACAGGCTGCTATGCTGCTTAGCTAGAAACACCAGACTCTGATGCTGCTGTCAGCTCACTGAACCCTAAATCATGACATCACAGCTGGCCAGTGTAATTCCTTTTGGAAGATGGGGCTCTCATATACCAATGAGGTAGCTGTTCTCCCTCCCAGCTGCTCCTGATATTCTCACATGTGAACAATGGCGCCTGTATGGGAACATTCAGAGAAAATGTCACCGAGGTTCTGAAATGATAACCAGAAAACACACTGCGGTATTAGTTCTGCTAAGCATTATAAAAACTTGAATTTTAGTTTTTATTAGCTTCTTCAAGGCTGAATTTCTCAGAATGATGTAACTGCTGCCTCAAAATCATCTGAAAATGTTTTTTTGGTCCTAACACCAAAGCTCTACATCTCCCCTCTGCTGAGCTACGTACAGAATAGCTAATCTGAGATCAACTCACACACTGGTTTCAAAGGCACACAAATGTAAAACCGGCTGACGCATATCTAGGACGATGCAGAGAAACCTGTTTTGCCCATGTAGGGACACAACTGCTTTGTCATTGTGTAAGGAATCACCAGCCACCAAAAGACACGTGGCCGCTGCCCGCCTGCATGCTGCTCCCAGTGCAGGGCCGCCACAGGCCAACTCAGGCCAGCCTAGCCCACACCTAAAGTGGGTGACTCCATTTGTAGCTGCTGGCAAAACAAAGGACTTACTTACTTTTAGTACAGTGAAGATTAACTAAGGGCAGCAAGTTCTTACCGTGGAGCCCACACGGACAGTGGTTCAATGGCTGCCCCTCCAAATACCTATCCTCAAGTGCCTGGCCAGGGGCTGTATCTGCAGCTGTGGCAAAGCCCAGGGCAGCTCAGGCTAATGGGGTCCTGGTGCAGGTCCATACACAGCTTTGTGGTCCCAGGGTGAGCATCTCCGACAGCATACTGAGCTGAACTCCTGGCTGTCATCAACCAAGACTGGTGGTTTTCACCGCATTTTCCTCCAGAAGGCAGTTTATTCTGTCTGCTTTGTTTTAAGCTGCTTGCCCTCACCACTCCCCACACTCTCTGAAAACGAAGGCTGATTTACAGCCTCTGTCCTAAGAACTGCATCTTCGCAGGTCTGCATGTGTGCACTACAGTTTAAGTACTCTGGGACTGCTCAGAGTGAAATGCATAAAATGCTAATGTATTACTAGACTCCTACAATATTTTTAAATAGCATCTCCAGTATATAGAACTATTTTACAAGCAAGTCAGTGTTCGATGACACCAAAGATTTTTATTTTATCTTTTAAAGTTTAAATATCAGAGAAAAGTGGGTGTTGATAGGATCTGCCAGCAGCACAAACAAAATGTATGAATCCAGACTAGAAATGAAACAAATCTCTCCACAACTGGCAAAGTAAGGCAGCACAACGAAAAAAATTCCACAATACACACCACCTTAAAACTATTGAACAAGCAAGTAGAACAAAGATTTCAAGGCATATTTGGACATGCGCTTCTTCAGGCAACATGTCAAACCCAGTACCTTCTCCTCCCCTTCTCCTTGACAGATGGTCTGACTGGGCCCGAAGCCACACCACCAAGCTGTGATCCTGGCAAAACCCACAAGGTAAATAAGGTTGGGCATAAAGTACAACTGGATGGGAGGCATGTGAGTGCTCAAGGATGAGATGCTGGCAATTCAGCTAGCAGCACAAACTGTTCTGAAACAATGGTTCAGTGCAATGCCAAGAGTGCTCTAGAGGTAACCACTACATAGCTAGGGCTGTATCCATCTCCAGTTGAAGCTCATGTGTGTTTAAAAGGTTAAATGCTTCAAATTTCCTCGGTAAATTCTAATTATCTTAATTTTTGTTCAAGCTACTATAAAGAAACCCCAACAAAATCCTCAATTAACGTTTATTGAATTTTGTTTCTCCTGTGCTGCTAGTGTGGCATGAAGATGCCAGAAAGTGCTCTTTTGAAAGACCAGACGTATTTCATGGGTACCAAAGCATATATACATGTGCTTTGTAAGAGCAGCTGATTCCCTCAGAGCTAAAAAACACTGAAGTGATGCCAAGTCATATTATTTGGGCAATTTCTTTTGTTTTAGCATTGTGTAGTGGAACCATCTGCACAAGAACCAATCAATAATCAAAGCCAGCCACTGCCAGATGACAAATCTCTCTGCTTCTCCAGGTTTAAATGTCAAATTATTGGTGCCATTCGAATTTTGGTTTGCTTTTAACTTCAGATCAAAGCTAACATAGCTGGGAAGACAATACTTTCCACACTCTGCCTTGCCCCCCTCCTCACTGCTCTGAAATCATCTGTCTTGAAGCCAGAAGTCTAAATAGAGTGTAGGGTGAGTTCAAAACAGGGAAGGTTGATGGGAGTCTACTGCCAATTCCACTCTGCAGTCACAGCTTGCTCCCACAGCTCCATTAGCTGCCTGCAATCAAGGGCAGACGACTCAGTCCTGCTTGCTGTCCAGGTTTAATAGGTTCAGCTAGTTAATGACCAATGGCTAGATTGCATTCCAAGACTTCACATCATTCACAAAGCAATTAAGTGTACACTTCTTGGGCTCCTCCAGGAGCCCGAGAGGAGTGCCGTGTTCGACTGAGAGGATCACTGCAAGCCACAATTTTCGAAACTGAATAGCACAACACAGTGGGAAACTGTCAGAATATTCACCTTCTTTAAGTATCATGCTGAATGCATCATTCCTTTTCCACATGCCTCTGAAGGGCTCCCTTACCTGTACACCCCTGGATTATAGATTGGTCTTGCCAGATGAAACCAAGATCTGTAAGCCACGGGGAAGCATCTCAAGTTAACAAAACAGATCTTTACTTTGAAAGCCACTGCAAAGGCAGAGGTACTTCTTATATACATACCTTTTACACGTTCCCAGAAGGGAACTGCAAGGCACCTTGCAAACAACGTAACACTTATACCCAGATTTACAAAGCTTAGAAAATAAGCGACCTGAGTCCTTGGGCATTCCTCACAAAACCAGGATCATGTCCCCAGAGGACGAAGTTACCTCTGAGGGCAGAACTGGGGGAAAAGCAAGTATTTCTTTTTGACTTGCACATGCTGATTCACCCCCATGCTCTTGCAGTACTTTAGTGTCACTAACATATGTACCATTACTGCTGCAATGCTCCTACCAAGTGTTTGTGTCTTTTTAAACTCTTACTTGCAGGGCAAAGATCCTACTTTTACAGGGAGGTAACTTCCCTGGAAGTACAAAGGATTCTCAGCCTTAAGTGGCTAATTCCCAGTTGGACCAAAGCTGGATCCTCGACAGACTCTGTAAGGACAAATTCTTACATCTGCAGGCTGCCTTTTACAAGCTGTCCGGCTGAACCTGAGGGAGGAAGGAGTCCTGTTGGCAAGGACATGCTACTTTAATGCGACCAGGAGAGCCATGATCACAGAGCTAGTGAGTAGATGGATGGCAATCACTTTGAGAGAATAAGAAAAAAGAGATGCTGGTCATACATTCTTCTCTTCTCATCCCATATACAGCACTCACAGATGAGACTTAAAATGCTGGATACTTAATGGTTTATAAGACTGTTGCTAAAAATAAAACAACAACAACAACAAAATACCCAAATACTCAAGGTCCCTTCACAAACTATTTCTGTAAATCCAGGAATCAAATAAATCTACCTTGGACAAAGGGATCATTTGAATTTTTAAGAATCAGATTCCATTTCTCTGAGCGTACCTGGGTAAAGTCAGATGAGTTTAAGGAGAAAACAAACAAAACCCCCTCTTTACTCATTTAGCAAAAAAACTTGTCATTAAACTTCAAAAAAAGATTTTCACAACAACACAAGACTGGTCTTTTTACTTTAAATGCAAAACCTTGGTACAGAAAGGAAGCAGAGCTGAAAGGTTATATAAGTTTTTTCTTCTATTATTCTCCATTTCCTTTCCACATGCCAGTCAAAACTATAAAATACTTGTGGGACAAATGCAGAAGGCACAGTTTCACATTCCAGAAGATCTATTTCCCTGTGCTGCATACAAGCCAGGCGACCACCCAGGAAAGTCAGGGAAACATGCTTTGGCCCACCAGTGCTGCAGTCTCAGAAAAGCCCTTCTCCACCAGGGCTCTGCCCTGTATTTTCTATGAGAAGTAAGCACCAAACCTGACAAGCGGCCGAGACTGTGGCACCATCACCTCTAAGCCTGCCCTGAAACAGTACTGACAAGCAGATCTGCATTTTCTCCTCTTGAGAAGTCGTGCCAAGTGCTAAAATACTTTGAATAAACTATCCAAAAGAAAGAAAGAAATAAAAAAAAAGGGGTAGATAATTGTAATATGGAGGCCTGTAATACTAGGTGCTCTTTACTTCTTAAAACCCTTCCATCCCCTGTCTCTTTGCCTTCCATTACAATATTGTCACCCCAGTTTTATTAGGGAAATGAGAGCAAAGATGGGTCATCTACAGTCTTGGGAAAGGGTAGGACCAGCTATTTTCTCTCCCTAAGAGCCCACGACAATGTTATTTTCTTTTCATACATCAATCACAGAAAGGTTTGGTAACTGTTTCAGAGTCACTAAAAATTAATCAGTTTGTCACAGGCCAAGCTGGTTGAGAAACTGCTGGCTGGAGCAATAGAAGTAGGCAAGACTTGCCTTCAACAAAGAAGGCAGCATTTGGTTTTAGTTAACTGGGTAAAGGGCAGTAAAACTCAGCCAAGTATTTATTTATTGGACTGGAGTGCCTTCAGCAAGAGAGGAGGGTGAGACGGTGCATGGTTTTGGTTTTTGTAGTCCCAATCTTGGAAGAGAGGTAAGTGAACTCTGGTTTCACTTTTGGAATAAAATAGCACAGAAAATCTTTGGTAGAAACAATGATTTATGAAGGGGATGTTCTTCATGCGTGTGTGTAAAACAGAAAAGGTCTAAAAGCTCTAAACCTTTCCAAGATGATTCCTTTTCTATGACCTATAGGACATTATTTTTTGCCAGCTCACAACAGTCAAGAGCATGAGGAAGCAACAACCCACTAGTGAGATTGTTGCTTTGTAGAATGATGCTTTCAGTTCAGCAGTGGGGAATGCTGACTGTACCCTGGGTGTCACTAAACTGTACTCTTGGATCTCTACAGGAGGAAAACCAAATAAATTTAACAGAAGTAACAAGTATAAATGGAGCTTTACGTAGTCTTGACCCAAACCTACACTCAGAGGTCTTGCTACTGGACAATACATCAGTACAGGCTAATATGTGGACCTACCAGTTGTGACCTTATTTGGCTCTTAGCTGTGTCCCCCTACTCAGTGTGAGGGTAACATGACAGGGGTGAGCAATGAGAGACTCACAACTCTGGATTCATATCAACTCTGGTGACCACAACTGACTTTCAGATCATGGCTGAGCAAAAACACATGGAGGTCCACCTGAGGATGCTGCAGAGGCTCACTGGATGTGTGGCAGGAAGCAAGAAAAACAATAAAGAGGAAAACTGGGATGACCTTGCAGTGTTTAGCTGGGACCATCAGGCTCTTGCAATTCTGTTTATATTCTTCCACCACAATGAGGTGTTAGGAAGCCCAGGATGGGAGGGGCATGAAGATAAAAAAAAGAAAGAGGAACCACTTTTTTTTTTTTTCTGATGTGTGCGATCTATTCAGGTGAATCTTTTTTACCGACAGGCTCTTTTCCTGGAATCAGCACGGATGCCCAAATGTCACACACCAGGGCCCTCTGATAAACACACAGCATACCTCAAATGTTTAGGTTATGTTGCCTGTTTGTACTACGAGGTTTTGATGGGAATTCTGGAGGTATTAGGTCATTTTTTACAGAGACATTATTAAAACCTCCTGGCTTTTTCAAATTTAGAGTCGTTTGGTTGAGGTTTGTTATTTTCAAACTATTACAGTAATGTGCTGTAATGTTTACCATCTGAAAAGTGAGACATTAAGGATGGATCTTTATTGACATCCTTCTCATTTCTTTCCTTGGTCACCTTGCATGCACCAATGGATTTTGTACAGAGGAATGCTTTGACCTGCAGATTTCTCTCCACCTGCTGCTGCTCCTTGTCCAGTGCCACAGCCACCTCTCTCTCTCTAGCTTCTGCTGCAGCTTTCTATTACTGAATGTCAGGGTCATCAGTGTCACTGGCTGACATGATTAGTGCATCTGACATTATACCACTGCTCTAAAGGAAACAGGCAGAGGGCAAAGGGAAAAAAAAAAAACCACCCAACCCCAAACCTGCAGCCATCCTAGGCAAAAGGGACCAGGCTCAAAGAGATATTAGTGATCTCAGTCTTTCCAGTTAAAGAGAAGGTCCTTGCACCATGATAGACACATGTAGCATTTCAATGAGCTCCTATGCTTGGAAAATTGGTACACTTCTGCCTGCCCCAACACATATCCTAGAGTGCTCCAGTTCGCAGACATTAAAGGCAAAGATTGGAGGAGGGGGCACATAATGGTTAAAAACAAACAAATGAACCAACACAAAATAAAAAAACCAAAAAACAAGTCATCAAAAAAAACCAACCTAGCATCAGACAGGAGATAAAGCCTGACCTGTGATTCAGCAGATTTGAATGCTCAGAAGTACAGCAGCCTGTGCACTATTGAAAGACAGCAGCAGTCCATTACACATATTGATTTGCAGCACTTTGTCAGCACTAATGATGTTACCTCATTAAAAGAGATAAATGCCCTACTGTTCTACCAAAAGCATCTGCTCCTTCCTTTTCCTTGCCTGTTCTCCAGCACGACCCTCAGCAGCAGCACAGTGAAAACAAATCAAAATCCAACACTAAACTTGTTTAGAGCCACTTGCTAAGGCTGCTTTTTTGTTGTTTTAATATTAATGTTTTTATGTAAATTTTTTTAATGGTGTTATTCTGTGTTTCCTACCAGGCACCTCTTCTCTTGATACTGAACCATCACATCAAAGGAAAACAAAGCCCTGTGAACCACCATGGCCCATTGGTTGTCAAAGAACTTCTCAGAAAATAAACTAATGTCTACCTGGAATAATTCATTCACTGTTGGGTAAAACAATACAGGCTGGAACTTCAATCACAGCAGGTGAATTAAGTGCTAGGTAAGGCGGTGACAATGACTTCTGTCCGTTAACACCCTACCATGTGTAGCCACACTCAACAGTTTTCTTCCAACAGATTCCTCACTACATGCAAAGGTAGCAGTTTACCATAATGAATGTTTTATGCATTATTCCTTTGTGTATAGGGTCTCTAAAGCACACATTATTAAAGTCTACTAAACTCTCTATTTAGCAGAATTACCAATATGCCTTTGGGGAAATTATTACAATGAAGCTGTACCGGTATTTAAATTCCAGTTGTTTAACAATCTTTTCCTAATCACCAATCCAGGTATAAACATAAAAATGCATTCAGACTTCTTCCAGCGCGGCATAAACATGTCTATGAGCTGCTTATGGAAATTTATTTTAAAAAAATGAGAATTTCAACTTGTCATGTTTTTCATAATTAGCCTCAGACAGCTACTGCTTTAAAGTAATGGGAACTCCGTCCTGATCCTCTTCACCAAGCAGAGCCCTCCTTGGGTTCTGTAATATAGTTAAGCCTGGTTACAAAACCAATTAACTATTTGCATCCATACAATTTCTATCAACCTATCAGTATCTGCAAGTTATCAGCCTAATCAAGGAAAATGTGGCCAACAAGGTCCCATTCTTTACAAATGGCTTTTCTATGAGAAAGGATCTGACCTGGATACAAGGGATGGAGCAGTCCAAAAGCTACTTCAACTCAGTTGTATGCCCAGGTTCCTCTCTGGTCCAGATACTCAACTATCTGAGTTGTACATAAAGCAACAACAGAGCAGCTACTAACTGTTGTTTGAGCCCCTCGGACCATTTCCACTTTTAATCTGCACACTACAGCAGCAACTAACTACTCTGTAAATGTGGTGGTTTCGTAGCAAGGAGTCAAACTTGGTTCTAAATTTGTAAATGTGTATCTGTACCTCCTGTGATAAGAACAAATATTTTTCCAATGGGAAGTCTCATGTTTCTCAGGGGAAGAGCATGCAAACTTCATCATACTAGAAATCACAGGATTCAGCTTCTGGGGAGAGGGGGGTGGGAGTAGAAGAGAACTAGGTCCGAACCTTTCACGTTTCCCCCATGACCTTCAATAAATCACTGTGTTCCTGCCTCCGTTTTTCATCAGTATGAACTGCTCAGGTTCTATCTATGGGGCAGTCAGGCTCTCCAGCAAAGACAACCAAGCCAGTGCCTAAGCAGATGTCTTGTCCTTGCCACTACATTACACTGGCAGTTATACAGTTTCAACACCAGTTCAATTCTCAGTCACCTTCAACAAAGAAAACAACACTAACGTATTGAAAAAATGTTGACAACAATCTCCCAAAACCAGTGGGCATAGAAACAGGATACAAGTCACAGAGTTGCTCAACAGGGTTTCACATTATGTGAAGATGAAGAATTTAGGCCATCATACAACTGCATATTTTGACAGGCCAGAATTCAAAGTACAGATAAAAGGGGGACTAAAGTCATCATTGGAAGCTGATATGTGCACTAAACATTTTCCTGACAAGTATGAATCAAATACTGTCTGCTCTTTTTGGTTCTAAGGCAGTCCTGGGCAATGAAGTTGTTTCTATCATGACCAAAAGTCCTTCAGGGAACAATCCTTGGAAAAAAAGCACAGCGAACAGGTGGGCATATTTTAGCCATACACAAATTCCTGTAAATCAATGAACAAAAGTACTTCCTTTCTCCAGTTACAAACCCTGAGCCAAATCACCTTCTCTGTTTTACAAACACAATCTCATTGACTTTGCTCAAGTTACACATGCACAAGAGCAGATTTTGTTGTTGTGTGCCATGGGAGACCAAATCTCCCTTAAGTAAGAAAGGAAACAATCTGTTCACCTTAAATGAAGTGGGATGAGGAGCATCCCTTTCACCTCTAAAAAGGAGACATATGTCTAACAGACAAAGGGAAAACATCACTAATTTCACTTCTTCAGTTTGTCTCTCCATTAGGAAAGACTTGTATGCTTTAAAAGGCTATGTTTTTCAGGCTTTTAAGGTTACTTTATGCGACTGCAAATCAGAAGACTAAAAATATCAGTTGTTGGCTTAGGGAAGTCTCCAGTGTTTACTTCACTACCCATTAAAAAGTACCCCTTTCATCCTGTTTGACAGGCATGGTAGAGATCAAGGGTGCAGCTTTAGTGCCTGAAATTGTCAGTCCCTTTTTCCTAGCACTTGCTTCTTTACCCCAACACTAGTTTCATGACTACAAGGTGAGATGCCTCCCTGAGTTGCACAAAATTCAGCTACATCTTTGGTTTGTTAGTTGTTGACTGGCTTCACCCCATTGAGCAGCTCATGGTCAGCTTCATAAGCACCAGTGCTGGTGGCAAGAGGGAATGGGGAAAGTGTTGGCCAAGGACAATGTGGGCAGAGAAAGAGGATGAGCAGCAGGAATTGGGAATGGTTTAGGCTGCCATAACACCTCTAGACCCTGATACATGCCAGAAAACATAATAGGAACAGACGACACAGCGCACAGTGTGGCATTTAACATGGGGGCACTGCAATACATGTGGCTAATGTTCCCATCTTGTTATGTTGTTGTGTTGATCACACCAGATGACAGAGATCACAAAAGCACCTGGCATTGTACTCAATGTCACTTTTCTTCCAAGGTATGGGGTGTAGGCCTTCGTTTGTTACTGTGGCACGTGGACCAGCAGCCACCCCAGACAAGATGTCAGTTTGTCTCTCCTGCCCCCTACTGTATGTGGTGGCATAATATGTGTCACCAACTCATGTGTGTCTCCACTTCTGCTTGGAAAAAACAACCTTCAGTTCTTCTAGAAATGGCGCTGCATGCATATGGAGACTCTCTGCTGTCACCACTCCTCCAGCAATGCTATCCAGCGTTTCCTGATGAAGGCTAAATGCAGCCCTTTGAGCACTACTTAACTCAATGGTGCTTTAGGGTTAAAATTAGCATTAAATACTAAAAATTCTCCAGAGTTTAGGACATGAACTTCTCTCCCCCTTTGCCCCATGGGGAATTAATCACAGAAGATTTATTTTAAACAGTGAACAGGCCATGATGCCCCATAAACCTCTGTCCCTTAATTTGCTGTTACTTCCAGTGACAACACTCAAAAGGGGCAAAGCCCAGCAGAAAAATAACTTCTCACTGAGCGTGTGACTGTCAGCCCGTGGGCAGGGGTGAAACTCTTGCTGCACTTGAGCTGTGTAACCAAATGAGTGTCACTCAAGAACAGACCTGCCAGATGCAAGAGTCTGTTTTAGACCGTGGTTTACCCTTGTCCTTTTAACCTCTTGCTCTCAAAACACACATCTGAGCAGGTCTGGCTGTGCCACGCATACCCTCTGCAGCAAAGTGCAACCCAGATGTCCTCCCCACGTGGTCCCCCTGCCTACGACATCAGTGGCTGCAGAAGGGGTTTCACTGACACTTGTGCCCAAGCAGTGCATCCAAGGAGGAGAATTCTTTAACCATAACCATCTGGGTTCTGCCATCCAACAAGACACCGTTAACCATAGCGAACGGCATCGAGAAGGGCAGCAACAAGTCTGAGCTGGTCCAGACTCGTCCAAGCCCACCATGGTGGCTTCAAACCCATTCACGGTACTACTAGGTGGAAGCCAACAAACAATCAACCTAAAACCAATTAGACAGATACCCCATGTTAATTATGTATGCCGACCTCCCAGAACACGACAAGTTTATTTTTCAGTATTTCATTATTAATTTTGAGAAAGCATTTAAATAGAAAACAACAAGCTGAATTTTCTAAAAGAAATCTCATTATTTTCTTGTAAGAAGCTAGCTGGTGGGTGCTGGTTTATTTTCCCATATATGGCATTCCCTTTTACCTAATCAACAACTTGGGGCTCTATGACAGCAGCTATCTTTGATAAAAGCAGTATTCTGATGAAGGAGAAACACATCCAACATTTGCATGATCCAGTAAGCTATCAAATGTATTTATTTATGCTGTGACCACAGTAATCAAGAGGTATTAAATGTGGAATGGAGCATCAGTTAAATGCATTTTAAATCTGATTTTTCACTGGTTGCAGTGAGGAAATTGTTGACTAGCGGGCTCTTTAGGGTCTTTACAGGCTGCAGTTAGAGAAGTGGATACAGAAGACAAATCGCTCCACTCCTGCAAAAGCAAGTCTTACTTTTGCAAGTAGTAGTGGTTCTTTCATCTTATCACTTAAAATTTGATCAAGTGAGAAAAAAACATTAATATAATTCAACTCACACATAAACTTCTCTGAAAAATGAGGACATCTCTTTTCCTTAAACAAATCTGACAAGGCTATAACTAAAAATATTTGTGTAACACACACAGTTCAGTATGAACACAGGAAAACAACTGGCATGAGTAACCGGAGTGTCTAATTTCAGCTATTTAGCCACCAAAATGCCTCAAGAGCTGTGACACATCCACTTAAAAGCTAAATATGGCCCACAAATAGATATTAAACATGAATGAATTTATCAAGAAGCAACAGTATGTTTCCATTAATCGTACAAAGGCTGCAAACAGGTTTAAAAAAAGATATTTCTACAGCACGTGATCAGAAGAGGTTTTTGCCGACACCAATTTATTTTATTATGAAATCAAGGCAAAAAATGAAAGGATCACATTAGCAGTTAGTAACGCTAACTCTCAGTGAAAAGCTAATGGAGTGAACAGAGCCTTAAACCAACTATTTTTAACACAAACTTGAGAGACCTGCTACTACAAAGGCAAACTTGAGAGACCTGCTACTACAAGGATGCTTGGACATCCTTGCTAGAAACTCCCAGACAACTTTTAAGGTTCCCTAAGGATGCTCCAAGGGAATTCAAGAGGCCAATTCTATACACAGACATGTGGACCGATGTCTCACTAAACCAACAGGCAAAGTTTAATCTCCAAGAGAACTTTAACCTCTGCTGTGCTTGACCAAA